AAAAAAACCGATTGTTCAAAAGTGAAGATGATAGGAAAATAATAGCAGTGTTTTACTGGAAGACAAAGCAGAACTCAAATGGTACATTTTGTAGGGCAGATTATGCTCAACAAGCTAATATATGAACCAAAATATCAATATTTACTTTCGAATCCTAACTGAAAAATACGCAAAATGAATGAAAATAATTTTCCTTCCCAGCTAAGAACACTCAATCATAGATATTCTCTAGTTGACATGAATTTTACTATAATTATTAGTTTAACAGTTAATTAAATATTTTTCTTGTTGTTTATTCGAGAAGGAAAAAACAAGCAAGCAAATGAGAACATAAATATACATTATGAATACACTCATGATAAATGATGCACTGTAGCGTGTTTGTAGAAACAAATAGAAAAACAAAGAAAATGAATACACAAAACAACAACAAATAATAAACACAATATATATATATATAACGAGAGAAAACGAATATATTTTATTTCATTTGATTGTTCAAATAAAAATTTTTCATTTTACATTTATGTACATGTTGTTGTTCCTAAAATTTCCGTAGTTGTTGTTTGAATAACTAAATAAAATAGAAATAGTTCGATTTGATTGAAAAATAAAAACAAATCTTTGTTTTTTATTTATGCATACTTGTTGCTGTTGTAGTTAAAATTGGTTTTTGTTTTCGAAGAAATATTCTACGTTGTTTTTCAATTTTAACTAATGCACTTTTGAGATTAAAAAATACTTTTTGACATTCACGCATACGATCTTTTAAATGAGTAATACGTTCATCACCAGTTAAATTATTATCTAAATAGTTAAAGATAAATATTATTTTATAGTTAAAAAAAAAAACAAAATTCATATGAATTCAATATTTATAATTACTAAGATCAAGAAAATTATAACGACTTGGTCGATGTTTAAACATATCTTTTAATTGTTGACGCATGGTTATATTTGATGGTGAATTTGAATGATAATCTTCATTTTCATATTCTAAATAAAATATGAATTTATTTATTTATTTAAGTATATTATTGAATTAACCTTGTTGATTAACAGATTTCTTTCCACCTCGTCTCCCTGGTGGTCGACAACGTTTTGCTAAAATATCAAAAAATACAATCAAAATAAAAACTACAACAAGAAACACAACAATAATTTCATTTACTTGTGGTACTTTCTGTAAGTTGTTGTTCAGTTGAATTTGATCTTGTTGATGTTTGATCAATATTAGTTATATAATCTGTTCCGATATCTGTATTAATAAGATTTCCAATATCTAATTTGGTTTTTTTCTTTGTCGATACAGATAAATCTTTCGCAGTATTTGATTCACGTAATGAACGTCGTTTTTGTTGACGTACAGAAGCACGACGATTACTAGTAGCTGGTGCCGGAGGTGATGTTAATATATTTGTTGAAGGAAGAATTTGTTCGATCACAAGAGATGATGGTGGTAATAATGGTGTTTGGAATGATTGTTGACATATTGATGAACTATCAATAGTTTCTTCTTTGACATGTAATGGATATTGATGTGGTTGTTCAACACTAAAGAAAATAAAGATAACTATTAAATAAGATTACATAGAATATTTACATTTCGGATGTTGACGGAGGAGTTTCTTCAATTTCTTCAGTTTTTATATTTAATGCTGAATCAATCTGAAAAGACAAACAAAAAAAACGAAATTGAATGTTATGGAGTATTCTTAGTATACGAATATTCTGTTCAACTATTTTTGAAGTTGTAACTTACTTTATTATTGGATGATGTTGCTCTTGATTGCCTTCGTTTTGGAATTAACGGTTGAATCTGATCATCATCTCGTGTTGATTCAGGTTCATTATCCTTTTCATCAACTGGTTCAAATTCACTCTGAGTTGTTGAAAGAATATTTTCATTATTAGTAGCTGATATACTTTCTCGAATATTTGTTGTTTCTTCAATAGGTAATCGATTTAAATCTGATTGATTTGTACGTGTAATTGATGAATATGAAAGAGCATCGTCTTCTGTCGATGATATTGTTTCAACATGATTCCAAACTAGAATTAAAATACATCAAATGAATGATTTTGTTTTTGTTCTTCAAAAAAAGATAAATAATTACTTTCACTTTGTCCTTGACTATTATCATCAATATCAGATTCTTCAATTTTATGTATTTCAATTGTAATTGTTTTAGAAACTTTATTTTGTTCATCATCATCAATTATTGTTGATGATGAACTAATATCAACAATTAATGAATTTGTTATTTGTGGTGGATTATTTTGTTCAATTGAATTTGAAGAATTTGTTGAATCAAGATGTTGTCGTACTGTATTTATTTGACTTGTACGACGTGGACGTTGTTGAAATAAAGTATTAGCATTTGTTGAATCTTTACGTTCAATAACACGATCTAATTTTATCCATTCGTCATGACTAAAATAAAATTAATTTTTTTTAAAATTATATAATTTAATTTTAAAAGAAAATTTTTTTTTTTATTTTACCGAGAATTCCATCCTGTGTAATGAACTAATAATTCTTTTTTTTCATCGTTTTTTTCAATACATCTTGCTGGATATTGTTTTGTTCCTTGAATACCCCATGTTACAAGTAATATATCATTTATAGAAATATCTTCATATGTTAATTGAGTATTACGATTAGCAGATATATAATCAATTAATGATGGTTGATCAATACTACTGAAAAAAAGCAATACAAATGAATTACTTGTTAGTTTTTTTTATAGAGAACTTTTACCTAAAGGTTTCAATACTTTCTTGAGATGATATTGAACGTCTAGCTCGTTTTGATGGAGATAATTGTTCATCGATTTCAGATATAGTTGATGAAATACAAATTGACTCAGCATTTTCATCGGAATGTGGACGTTTATTTGGATTTAATGGAAGAACTTCATTTTCATTTGATTCTTTTGTTGTTATCAATGTAGGTTGAAATATTAAGGGTGTTTCGATTAATTTAACTTCTAAAGAAAATTTATAGAAGAAATTTATTAAAATTTCATTGTATCAATTTTACCAGGTGTTGTTTCATTTGAAGAACTAACACTTTGTGTAGCACTAAATGAGACTGGTAAAATTGTTGGTGTAATAGGTTCATCACTAATTGAAGATATCGAAGTTGTAGTTAGAGGAGGTGGTGGTGATGGTGATGGTGATGCTGGTGTTACAGGTAACGGAGATAAGTCACGTAGAATAGGTTTTTTAATTGGTTCAGGCAATGTTGGACGAGTTGGAGATGGTGTATGAGCTTTTGTTTGTTGATCATTAATTGCTAAACAATATTCAATGTAGAAATATTTTCAATTTTCGAGAAAATATTAGTAATGCAACATGAATTTTAATTCGTATGTAGATATTCTCACGATATTTTCTCTCGATTCTGCTCATTGAGACCGCAACTACGAGAAAAAAAGTTGTCCAAGTCCGACATGAAAACTTTAGTTAAGCTTCCTAAGATTATAAATCACATCAATCAAAACATAAAGGAACAAAGACGGAAGAATAAGAATTTTTCTACATACGTTTGTTTGATGGTGTATTGTCTTGTGTTTTAGATACTTTGGCCGTAGTCTCTTTTGCTAATTGTTTTTTAGGAATTTTATCAATTGACGTTGTTGATTTTTTTCTAGATAATTCAAAGAAAAAAGAAAATTGAATAATATATATATAATGTTTATTTTTTATTACATCGAATCATTATTTGAAGATATTTTTGGAATTTTCATAGATGATGCCGACGAAATAGGTTTTGCAAGATTTTCTTCATGAGTTATTGGTTTTGTTTTTTTAACAGGTGCTGATGATGATCGATCTTGTGAATTTGTTTTTATTGACGAAGAATTTATTTTCGTTGGTTTGA